TACATAAAGCTGTTACTATACATCTCTAGAGTAGAGGCCTAGATAACAGAAATGCGACATTGAAGGGTATGGTCTGATTGGCTATCTAAATCACGTGATCAGAGCGCCATTTTAATTCATTACTGCGTATAATTAGAGTCCTAGGACTTTATGTATAGTAAGAGTCTAATATAATGTATGTACGTATAATGTATATCCCTTATAGAAAAGTACTACTGAGCATTAGGAATATTTTGAGGTACTAAAAAAGCACTTTCAGAGACTCTACGAGCACACTCTGATCAAGCTGAGAGTAAGTGACGGATTTAATTTACATATGCCTATTTATAGGGATCCGCGTTATCTTGCCGAAACGCGGGTATATAGAAGATCTTAGGGTGATGTCCCATGCAGCGGATCGTGCGTAAGCGGATTCGCGTATCGCCAATCACAGAATCATTCTCTTAGATCTGTTTGCAAATTTCGCAAGCATATCTAAGAGAATGAGTCTGTGATTGGCGATACGCGAATCCGCTTACGCACGATCCGCTGCATGGGACATCACCCTTAGCACTACTCAGCATTACTGAACACTTTCGCACTGCTAGTAGTGTAGTAGTACAGTCTCAAAATACTCCTAGTGCTCAGTAGTACTTTTCTACAAGGGATACTATTAAGTACATACCATAAGTACGTACTATACTTTCTTCTTTTTTTAACAATTTAACTTTCCTCATGTAATGCATCAGCTGTCATCGGCTTATAAAGGTGCCTTTTCATGCCGACGCTCGACGCTTATTTTCGGTGTCAAAATAAGTCACGTGATAAAAATTGGCGAATATCAAGCGTCAATTTGATCTTGTGATTTTTTTGACGCTGAAAATAGCTGAAAACGAGCGTCGAGCGTCAGCATGAAAAGGCACCTTATGGTTATAAGTACTTATACTCAAAGGCATAGAGAATGGACTGCGCGATCGGTATCTAAGCAATGTATCAAATGTGGTCGACAATAATGAGAGAGAGGGACCGTGGGAGACGGCCAATCTCGGGGTGATCCCGATTGACCACGGTACGATTGGACACCACCAATCACAGCGACCGGTGTTTAGAAGATTTGTAGTCTCAAGCGCTGCGAGTGGCTCGTGTCCAATTGAGCCGTGTCCAACTGGGTGCCACCCCCAATCTCCCTCTCATTCTCTCTCTCATTACAGCATTGAATGGAAAGAGATAGAAATGACCGTCTGCCACCGCCGGGAGCTGGCAAGAATTATAGCGTTTTCGGCCCGACCGGGTTTGCACCAACCTGGGTTGGATTAATGGCGTTTTGCGCTCCCCTATTGGTAGAGCGTGTGACATCAACCAATAGGAAAAATTAATCCAACCCAGGTTGGTGCAAACCCGATCGGGCCGAAAACGCTATTAGTCTGCTCTAGGAAACTTTGTGCGCATGCGTAAAACGACGTAGCAGCCCGATTCAATGACGGAGTAATACGGAATACGGCTGCTTTTAGGGCTCCTGTACATCTTAAGGCCCGTCTACAATACACGGAGTAAGAAGTAAGAGTAAGAAATTGACCAATCACAGTCGATTATTCTTCTCACATTCGACTGTGATTGGTCAATTTCTTACTCTTACTACTTACTCCGTGTATTGTAGACGACGTCTTAGTGTTCAACCATCCCAAATTAGGACGGACAGTTTCAAATTTTAACACTTTGTCCCGCTTTACAACGCGTCCCAAATTTTTTCTTAAATTAAGGTTATAGTAATGAATTCCTCTAACTTCTTAGCTACTGTACGTCACTATTGTGGCTTTCGCGAATGCTATTTCTCTGAATGATATGATTGTTTAACAATACGATTGTAAAACAAAATTTATTATTATTCATAAACACACTATGTTTCTTTAATGAAAACTTTCTTTTCTCCCTATAACTTTCTTAACATCGTTTTTATTAGATTAAGGGCCTTATAGTACCATGAAATGTTTACGTCAGTTAAGGCTGTTCAGCGCTTGCTCAATGCGCATGCGCTAATAATTCTTGCCAGCTTTCATCACTACTGCCACGGTCCCTCTCTCTCATCCCTATCGACCATTTTGACACACGGATCGCGCAATCCATTCTCTATGTCTTTGATTAAAATAGCGATGACGACCTAACCCAACCGACGCAATGTCGCTCTGGTATCTATAGGTTTGTTCATGGTGTAATAATCTACTTGCATTTAAGCATTTCCTAACCTACAACATTATATATTATTATAAATACTTAAACACATTTATTAACATGATTACATACTTTATTAACACTACTATTATTAATACTCATTTATTTATTTATGATAATAAATTTTGATAATATATATATATAGTATTACCTTGTTATCTTTGTGCGAGTATACAGTGATGGGAGAAAGTTCGGCAACGGTCAAATATCTTGGAAAATAATGCTTATGGAAAAAAATGTTCAATACAAAAGTTTTAGTATATCAAGTGGTCTATTATATGGTTATGTTGAAATGACCTTCATGTGACCTTGAAGGACACCGTGAAGGTCAACTTTGAAATCTTAAATGGAAATACCTATTTTCTCTTACATATCCTTAAAGCTGGTGTCAAGACGTTTCCGAAACACTGGTTACAAATCCTTTTTGCTTGAGATCTTCCTGAGTTACGAACCTTTAAAGTTTAAGTATCGCCGGCGCTTTATCTAAGGTATGCGCGCGCGCGCGCACACACACACACACACACACACACACACACACACACACACACAAACGCGCGCACACACACACGCGCGCGCGCGCACAAGACTCACTTTGATCAAGCATCTCGAAGAGATGGATATCCGACCGTGCCACCTCCACGTAGTATACCTTAGATAACGCGCCGGCGATACTTAAACTTTAAAGGTTCGTAACTCAGGAAGATCTCAAGCAAAAAGGATTTGTAACCAGTGTTTCGGAAACGTCTTGACACCAGCTTTAAGGATATGTAAGAGAAAATAGGTATTTCCATTTAAGATTTCAAAGTTGACCTTCACGGTGTCCTTCAAGGTCACATGAAGGTCATTTCAACATAACCATATAATAGACCACTTGATATACTAAAACTTTTGTATTGAACATTTTTTTCCATAAGCATTATTTTCCAAGATATTTGACCGTTGCCGAACTTTCTCCCATCACTGTATATCCCATATGTGACCACACGTCCCAATTTCCTTCTCAATTAATATATCTGCCATCAAATTGTTTTTAGCATTTAGACTTTAAGTACTTGCGTTTTTACGGAAATATTTTACCTGCCTCGCCATTGTTTAGGCCAACACTAATTCCATATATTTTTTACATTATTTTTAAACAGAAATACATTTAATCTTAAATAGAAATACGTTTAATCTTAAATAGAAATACATTTTAATTATATGTAATTATTTGTGTATTTAAATTTCGCGGGTGCATTTGGACCCAAATGTAATTGGTTGAAGCGCATACTACTGCGCATCCACGGGAATGTTACAGCCCTTCTACAATAAGCCGCAAGTCAGAACATCAGAAGTCTTAACCTGTCTTAACCAAATCGTTCAAGTTAGCTATTGGCCAACTTCACCGATTATGACTCAAAATAGCTTAGAACTTCTGACTTGCAGCTTATTGTAGAAGGCCCATTAGTCCGGATCTACAATGGGTGTTTTAAGCTTTAAGCCGTAAGAAATTGACCAATTACAGTCGAATCCGAGAAGAATAAGCGACTGTGATTCGCCCATTTCTTATGGCTTAAGGCTTAAAACTCTATTGTAGATCCGGACTTACACCTTGGGGTCGATTCTGTATCTTCAATCAAGATGAAAATTACAAAAGTGAGCAAATTTACTAGGTATTGACCAATGAAATTATCAGTATTCTAGTAAATTCACTCACTTTTGTAATTTTCACTTTGTTTCAAGATACAGAATCGATCCCCTTGTCTTATTACACCATGGGTTTGTTCGCGTCGCATGCTCCAACATACTCCTACTTCCTCCAACTGTAGCTCCTACTCACTCAAACGCGCTCGTTAGAGTGAGTAGGAGTTATGGTAGGAACATGTTGAAGCATGTTGGAGTATGCGACGCGAACAAATCTTATGCCTCTACTCTAGAGATGCGATGTGTGTGTGTGTGTGTGCGTATGTGTGTATGTATGCATGGATATACCTGATAAAGCTACGTTCGAAAATACTACCCAAGTGCCGATCCAAATATCATTTTATCTTTGTTGTGCACCGAATCTTAAACAAGGATAAAATGATATTCGGATTACTCGGACTACTCGGAGGTATTTGGGTAGGGTTTTCGAACGCAGCCACCAAGATGCAATCAGTTGGGTGCATTTGTTTACGCATAGGTTAGCGCAGAGAGTATCATTTAATCCTTGTTTAATACTTGGTGAACAACAAGGATAAAATAATACTTCTGCGCTGACCGTTGCGTAAATGAATGCAGGGGTGATGTCTGTGTTTTTACGTTACATGTATGCGTACAGTTATTTTGATTCGACGATTTTACTGGTGAGCTTGGTAACTGGTGGGAGTGATGGGTGCTCGTGAGATGACGACATTCGAAAGATATATATAGTAGAGAATTAGCTTATTCATTGTTAGTCTTTTATTTCTAGATAATAATTCTCGCACCGCAATACGCAGTATTGTGTGCCTATCGATACTGTGAGTTGTGTTTAAACGATATTGGCTGCGTTCAGCAGAGAAAGCAGCTTTGCAACTGTTGTAAAATTCTTCAATATGATTGGTCTTGCCCTTAGTTTCTCATTGGATCTAAATGTATAAACTGACCATATTCAAGAATTTTACAATAGTTGTAAAGCTGCTTTTTTAGTTGTGTTCCAAAATTGACTGCTAGTACTGAAAATCTATAGTGCACATAACGTAGATTAGCATTTTCAATGCTGGCAGTATATTTGGAACACGGCGTCTGTTGAACGCAGCCATACTTATCCAAAGTGTTGCATAATAACCAAGGACTCGGTTGCGCTGTTGCTTTGACGGCCTTGCACATACTTCCTGCTGCTGCATACACCTATCTATCTGCAGTCGGTGATAACAATGGCTGGTATTCCGACAATTACATTTTCGAATGGATACAAAATGCCGATGTTGGGGCTCGGAACTTATAAGGTACGTACCTATTTCATAACAAGAGATACAAGTAGATATATAAGGTGGGTTCGGAGAGACGCTATTAGCACTACATATGTGTCATTCTATCCATAGTGGAAGGATTACATGGTGTGCTCACTTTGCAAGCATCTCTAAAATTAGAGCTCTCTGTCATTTCTCTGCTTCTCGTTCCGCAAGGCCTATAATTGTGAAACGCGAAACATGGGACGATATTCATAGTCCGTTTCCATTTTAAATCCATCTTAAATATAATGTCTTAAAATGTTAATACAGTCCTCGGATTGACTTACGACATCTTAAGATTGACTTAAGACAGTCTTAAATGTAAGACTCTACTATGAATACCGACCTGTTTTGCGTTATGAAGTTGGTACTAAATTTTTCCTCGTGTAAGAAAAGACTGCGCACTGAGAGACGACGCGGAGCAAAAGTAGGCGTGGTTTGGCTCAGTTTGGCTAAACTGAGCACACCATGGCCTCGTTTACACCCAGGGTTCGATCCGATTCGGAATGTAAGAATCAACCAACTGCAGTCGAGCATTCCCTTGTCAATCGACTGTAACAGGGGAATACTCGACTGCAGTTGGTTGGCTCTTGCATTCCGACTCGGATCGAACCCTGCGTGTAAACGAGGCTCATGTAATCCTCCCACCATGATTCTATCTTCATCGACCATTAAACATGAAACAAGGATAGTATTACTACGTTTACACGGCACGTTTTACGCCGAAGTTATAACATTGATTTTATGAAATTGGGCAGTTATTCCATTCTTCAGAAGAATAGCTATGATTGGCCAGTTCCATAACATCAATGTTATAACTTTGGCGTAAGGGTATATCCACACAATTTCCATAGTCGCATAAACATATGTACAAAGAAAATTATCCAATTGTATTTCTCCTATAAAGATACATCTAAAATGTGATTGGATAATTTTCTTTATGCATACGTTTATGCGGCTATACAAGTTGTGTGGATATACCCTAAAGCGTGTAACAGAGCTCTATGACACAAATAGCGTGCTCGAACGAAGCGATAATGTATACGAATTACATCATCATGAGATATTATTTTACGCGCATTTTATTTGCATCTCAAACGTATCGTAGCATCCACATCAAAATTAATCGAAATCGAGTAATTATTCTTATCGTATATTATTCCACAACGATCACACTAATCCTATTTATTTTATGATACAATTTTTATTTAATATTCTTACTAGGAATTTTATTTTTGTTTGGCAAATCTACTTCACTCAATTTGAGAGTTGCGATCCGTCCCCCTCCCGTGCACAGGTCTCTTTTTTATGACGTTTAGGGACGTGCGGAGGAAATTTTTCAAAGGCGTCCGGGGGGGAATAATTACGAACGTCTCTCTCTCTCTCTCTCTCTCTCTCTC